GAAGCTTATTCACATTTCCTATTCTACAATCAATCATCAACCTAAAATAACCTACATTTTCACTGTATGTATTACATTCTCCACTGCTGCATTCTCTTCCTTGATCATCATCTTATTTCAGGCAATAAACAGGGTATTTTACAAGTACCAGCTATTTAGATAACTTGCAAAACAAATACTTTGGACTGTACAGTCTCCCATTTGTGAGCAATCACAACCTGACTTCAGGGTATACTAACTGAAAACAGACTATTCAGCAATTAGCTTACATGATGTCTTATTACTTAACGTAATAAGAAACATTAAAATTGAGTGAGAGGCAGAAATGTAGCTCAAGACTAAATGAAATTAAGGTGATGCAGAATGACTATCTTTTTCCACAGCGACTCCACTTCAGAAAGCAGAACAACATTTTCTATATAGTCTCATGTGCGGATTTTTTTTTTTTTTTTTTGCAAAACTTCTTTCTCCATTACCTGCTTTCCTTCCTTCTGAGCACAAAGTTATGCTAATACTCTTCCGGATAACAGTAGAGCCTCCTACTCCAAGATTATCATTTATATCATTCACCAGAAGTTCCTTAAATCTAAAAGGCAAGGAGCCTGTTCATTTTTGTGTTTGCTTTTCACTTTATTTAACATTTGGGCTTCACCCATTTGTCTTCAAATCAGCAAGCCACGTACACGGTATTGTTGGCACTTAGCAGCACAGGATTTTTTCCATGAGGCAGGTCATGGTTTTACTTGCTATTTATTCCAGAGGATAAGACCTGCGAACTAGCAGGTCCATTCATATATACTGCACCTTAAGCTAGAAGTCTCAGACGACTGGAAGGCAGCAGCAGTATACGGTGCATATGCGTGGTGCTTAGAGGAGAAGTACTTTACAACTGCTATGCTGTTATTCTGGAGAGTTTTCGTATCAAAACTACCAATACACTCATAACCAATGTACTTTGTTTTCCTGAAGTTCAAAGGGCCTTTGTTTTGCTGCTATGCCTTCCTTTTCTTCTCCTGGAAAGGAGCAACATCCGTTTACTGAAGGTGAACAGTATGCCAACGACATGTAACACTGTTTTTACATCTGAAACATCCACCAAAATCCTGAAGCTGCAGATACAGAGAAGTCCCAATACCCCAGCAGAACGCTCTCTAGCTCGCTTTTCTTGATCCCAGCTCTGTCTGTGCCCTTTCTACCATCTTTCACAAAAATAAATTAGGCCATCAAATGCACTGAAATATTATTTTGACATCACTTAGCAGAAATTTGTGCCAAAAAGAAAGAAGAATTGGTGAGGGGAAAAGAAAGAAAGAACGAGGGACTGTACGTTGGGGTTTTTTTTAATGGGAGGCAAGTCCCAGGAGTTCACAATTATCCTCACAGGTAGTCAGCTATTTTGGTCTCCTCCTCTCCCTAAAACCAGGGAGGAGTGTGAAAACCAGCAGAGGACACTCAGGCTGATGACAGTGTTAAAGGAATGGAGGTTACATTTTAGCCCCCAAAGGTAAAGTGAACAGAAGGGGGCAGGCTGGCAAAGAAGAGACAAAAATAGAAGAGTGACTAGACTTCACTTGACTGCTATTTCTGGATCAACTATGGAAAGAGATCTGAGAAGGTTTTCTATTTGCAAGGGAGAGGGAGACCAAAACATAGTTGCCTTCTAGAAGGCCACAGTCCTGCACAGCAGTTTTGTTTGTGCTTCTACTTTTCTAAATCCCCACATTCTCACTGTTTGGAAACAGTGCTGTTCAGCCAAAATGTCATTATATGTCTAAGTGAGTAACCAGATTAGACTTTCTGGAGCAGGACAGCAATGCGTGTGGCATTTCAATCTAACAGAAACAAAGCTGACAGCACATTGTAAAAGCGTGTAGCAAATCACAATGCCAAGCAGAGTAAACTAAGCCACATAATACTTTCAGAAAATAACCAAAGCCCTGCAGTATCTCCGAGAGGACGGCTTGTGTTTTCCCACTCTAAAATGATTGGTGAAATTCTAACTAGTTCCAATTATGGACACAGACTAAAGAAGACAACAGGGACCTCCCAATTACAGTATGAAGGGCTTGACTGACACATGGCTCTGGGGATGAATGTTTCTGCCTGTTCGAGCCCTTTCCTCTTGAGTACCTCAGTTAAAATTCCTCCCATTGAGTAATTTCTATCCAGATCCTGGCTGTGCTGGCTTTGTTCCCATATAAAAGAAAACCTGCAGGCAGAAAGCAGTGCCATCTGCCAAGTCAGAAGCTGCTTTAATGGGCAAGTTTGGTGTGAAGGGGAACAGACTATTATGCTTTTTCTTTAGCAGCAGGAGTGATGTTTTACTTTTCCCAGGAGTAGGTTAGAGTGAGCACACTCACACCTGAAGTATTTGTCCACAAATATACATAGATCTCAATAGATACTGCACAAGCAACCTCCAGATAAAAGAATCCAGCATCAATCATCCCTTTTTTCCTGTTCAACTTGGAATTGAATCTTTACATTTCTCTTTACCTATCAGATCAGTTTTGGATTTTTTCCTGTGACAGCTTCATCAGCCTCCACTTTCTATTCCTGCAAGTGAATGATAACCTCACTATCACACCTAGGAAGTACGAGCAGTGGCAAGGCAGAAACAGCCCTATTGTCCCTACACAGAGAATTCTGCACTGAAGCTGTTCCTGAACATTATTTTTTTTTCTAAGTTACTTGTCCCTTTTCCATAACTGTTTGACTGGATGGTTCGCTATGAAGTCTCATATGGAGCAGGTCTGGGACTTGCATGGCCCAGTTCAGGTTTGATGAGAAACAACAGAAAAACTTCCTCTGAGTATTTTCATCCTTGCAAATATCTTCAGGGCTAGGAAAAGATCCTTCTATTCTTGCCAATTAACCGAGTGCAGTTTTTATCCTTCCTTGTTGGGTAATCTTCTCATTAGACCGTCTTTGGAGAGAATAGTGGATTCTCTCTGGGCTGCTGGCAGTTTTACTTAATTGCATATTTAACTTTTTATTCAGCACTTAAACTCATAACCATGAGAAATACATACACGCAAGCAGCAAACTATTGTCTGCCATTTAAACTCCCTAGAGAACTCATAAACATCTTAATATTTCTGTCCCTTTCAGAAGAAAACTGCATACAATCCACAGCTGGGGGAGGGAAGGGCGGGAGGAGGATGACAAACACATATATAACATAATTTCAGTGATATATTAACCATTACTGTCAGAACTCCAGTTTGGGAAGGGGGATGGTGCTTTGGTCCTTAATGTATTTTAAAAGTTCTGAAAAAATGAGCCAACTCAATCAGTGCTCAACAGAAACTGGTATTAGAGGATCTACTATAGGTTCCTGCTCCCCATCAGGCAGAGGACATTCTGTCAGAGCACAGCAAGTTTACCTCTCTTCTCCCCTTCCCCAACTCTGAGCACTGAATTAAAAAATATTCTACAGATGCTAGTATCCATAGGAATGTATTTCCTATTTGATTCCAGAGCTACAGAATTTGCTCTGGAACACACTCGTTGCCACTGGATTGTGCTCTGGAATGGTAACTTCTATTTTAAAATGCTTTCAGCCCTGATGACTGCAAAACCTTTGAAGTATGAATGGTATACAAGTGGCAACAGAACTGCTGAACTCTTCAGAAACAGCAGAACAGCTTCTGTATTAACTATTATCCTTCATCACAGTGTGCTAAGTATAGCAATTAATGTTGATAGCACTTCAGAAGAATCTGATTAATGGATCACCTCAGAGTTGTAAAAACAGGACACTCCCCTATGCAAGTGCAAAATCCCAGTACTTCCAGTCTGTTTGCCAAAGCCTTCAGTTTCCCCATGCTAAACTTCTGTGAGTCAGCTACGTGAAGCTAATACAAAAAAGAGTGTGATAAAGAAAATGAGAGTGTTGGAAACGTGAATTAATCAGCATGTTATTGTATTGTAAGCTTTTCTAGTTCTTCTATTAAAAATCTTTTTAATACACAAAGCCACCAGATATTTCCAGTCTGTTTTATCAAAGTGCAGAGGCTTTGCTGGGGATAGCAGTTCTAGCTTGGTAAGACCATTCCCAGACCTTGGCAGACCTTCCAGCTGACCACCAGCAGATCTGTCCTGCTGTCAGCAAACACGGAGTGCGAGGTTTGCGAGGTTTAAGGAAAGAAAGGGTACCTGAAAGCCTTCTAGACATCCCAACCAATCAGATTAACACCATTAAGGACTCAGTAACATTCTTAAGTAATTCTCATGACAATTACTTTAGCTGGTTTTCAGCCTTACCATACAGAACCACCCTCGTTCTCATTTGAGCTGCTTTTTTCTAACTATGTGGTTTAAAAGCATCAGGGAAATCTTCAAGTTTAAAAGCTGCAGAGCAAAAGGCAGGTAAGCTTTATGTTCTCTAATGAATGGTTATTGCTCTATTTATTTAAGTGGTACTTATCACCATAAATATCTACTAAACTTACTTGCCAATACTAGTGTAATCAGTGCTTTTCCAGGTAATACCCTTCTGTAATTGAATTGCAAAAATAAAGATGAGAATAAGTGAGTAAACAACTAGAAATGCCCATTAAGAAAAGTCTTCAAAGCGAGGAAAGTCTGAAGACGAATGAATATTTAAATACTTCCCAGTTTAGGCCTATTTCTTTGCACAAGATCCAAAATAGTTTCCTCCCCAAGTATTGCATAATATGTTCATTCAAAATCTAGCAAGCTTTCTCACAGAACACACCAAGACACTGTTCTCTCCCCCGCTTTTTTGTCTTTTAAATATGAACATGAGAATTTCACAGCTGATAACATTCTTCTGGAAACTCATGCAGAATATTCTGGAAAAGAGTCAAGTTTGGACTACGATGTTGCAAGTAATAGCAAACATCTCCACATATTCAAATTCTTCATGCAGCACTCTGTGAAATGTAGGCAACAGAACAAGTAGCTTTTACAGGGCTTTGGAAGCGAACTCTGACCTCCAAACCATAAATAAGGTAAAAAAGAAATAGCCTGCATACCTTCAAAGCACATTTCTGGCCTGTCTCCTTGTTGAAACACTCCAGTACTTTGCCATTGATTCCTAACCCTAGCACCCGTTTGGAGAGTTTGTAGTCATCTGTAACTGCGTGTTTTTTTATCTCTAGTTTGACATGGGCTGCTCCCCCAGGCAAGGATTTCACGCTGCTCTTGCCATCCACGTGACTCTCTGGCTGGGATTCCTGTTCACCTTCATTTTGTTCCATATCAGGGAAGAGTCTGAGATGGCAGAGATACCCAACAGATTCCCCGTGGGGTATCCTCAGCAGAATCCCTCCTCTTAGGCGATCAAACCCAGTGCTTCAAACAGTCCATTTGCTCGCCATTTAGTCCTGAGTAAAGATGTAAATAAGCGTTAGCAATTGATGTGAACTAACCCTCACACCTCAGGAAAGCACACTTTGTTTAGCATTACAGATCAGTCACCCCAGTTCCAATACACACAGCTGTCAGTCCGAAGTTATAAATTACTGCTTTTACCACAAGGGCCTGCGCTGAGTCGTGGACTAAAGTCGTACTCAGTTAAGCTCTGTACAACAGAGATGGCCTCTGCTTCGAGGAGTTTATAAACCTGCATCAACAGGTTTTGTGCTGATGGGACAGGCTGCCTCAACGCTTTGTGTAGGAATCTCCGCAATGGTCCCCTGCCTCGCCCCGATGCTCCAAGTGATGCGACAGAGCCACGAATACTTGGATTAAACCCCAGAGGGGCAATGCCTGGGCAGGCATGGGACCTGATGCTGGGCTGGCACTTACCAAATTGCCCCGGACCGCAGAGCGAGGGGCGGGTGTGGCGTTACTCACAGGACCATCGAACCACCCAAAAACTCGGGTACGCGGAAATGCAATGGCGTGGCTCCCAAAGCCAGGGAGCTGCCTGACCCCGCCGGGGACCGGAGGGCCTCTGAGGAGCACAGCCCCGCGGGAGGTGCCGCTGCCAGGGCCTCCTCCCGGCCCCGTCAACACGGCTGAGCCACGAGCAGGCGAAGCCCCTCACGCGGGTGGGGCTGCCGGGCCCGAGAGAGCGGCTCCCTCAGCCCCCCGGGCGGAGGGCGGGAAAGCCCCGAGGCGGGAAAACCCTGAGGTGAGCTGAGGTGAAGTGAGGCGAGGCGCGCCCCACGGCGCCCACAGCAAGGGCGGAAGGGAGGGGAGGGGGAGAGGAAGAAAGAGAACCACCGGGGCGGCAGCGGTGGGTTCCACCGCCGGGCCCGGCCCCACCGGAGGACGGTTACCTGCCTGTGGCGGCGCG